GTCGGCAAGTGGTGGGTCGACAGATGGGGGTTCAATCCCTCATGCATCGTTGCTCCCTTCACTGGGGACAACCCTTCAACTATTGTCTCTCTTGCTTCTGTAGGTGATGCCATTCTCTCTCTCGGGACATCTACCACCCTCCTTGTTGACATCGCACCCGGCCCGGAGGTTCCGAAGCGCACTACGACATCGCACTTGCTCGCCCACCCAACAAGTGAAGAATCATACATTGCCATGTTGTGTTACAAGAACGGTGCGCTAGCAAGAGAATACGTTCGCGATCACTATGCCTCCAAGGACTGGGATAAATTCAATGAGCTCGTCCGGGAGACCCCAACAGGGAACGATGGCTACATTGGGTTCTACTTCCCACTGTTCGAAATCATCCCTGCAAACGTTATCGGCGACTTTTACTTCCATAATGGTCAACTCGTCGAGGCTGTTTCAGATATCAAGCATCATCCGAGGGCTATTCTAGAAAGTCAGCTACTCAGCATTCGCTCCAGGACTATGTCTATCCTTCCCCATGACGCTCCACCACTCAAGAGGCTTCTACTGACCGGAGGTTCAAGTGCCAATGAAGTAATACGACAAATGGCGAGCGATATCATGAACTTAGACACATACGTCGCTGAATCGAAAGAAGGTGGTGCCGTAGGGGGTGCAATACTCGGCATGTATGCCTGGTGGCTACAACAAGGTAATAGGGGTGCTTTGGATGATCTAAAGAAGACTCTCAAGGTGGATGCATTCAAATTGGTGGCCAGGCCGAATCCAGATCATGCAGATACATACGAAGGCATAATTCCACTCTACAGAAGATGTGAAGAGAAAGTTGTGGTGTTATGCGCGAAGAATAATAACGATGGAGATTAATATATAATCAAGGAATACACAGAATTCCTCTCCATAGATATTTCTTCATATACGATGTATCTATTCATCGTCAACATTGATTATATCGAGTTAAATAGACACACAAACCTCAGAAGATAGTACCATCCACTCTTGCAATGAACGTATATATTCATCGCTCCCTTCATCTACAGGTACGTCTGGGTTCCAGAGCTTGAAGCTTTGGAATTTTGCGGTAATTTCAAAAGCACGTTCGTCAACTGAATTTCGCCTGCTTATATTGTCATTGTTCGACAGTATTTTCTCCTCGTTAGGTATTTCTTGCCGTGACTCATCTTCTGGCGGTTGACTCTCGTCGGCTGGATCATCTAATGAGAGTTGTTTGCCTTTGGCCTTTAGCTTTGCAGCCGCTTTAGCCTTCAAAGCTGCTGCTCTGCCAGTAGATTTCGAAGTGTCGGCTGCAGGCTTTGATACAGAGGCCTTTGTGTTAACGTTTGGCTGCAACACTGTAGGAGTTCCAGTTCCGGTCAAGATGACCCCCGTAAAGCCTTCTGGGACGCGTACAAATTGACCAATAACTCTACGTCCCCGGAATGCAGCAGAGAACATTTCATTTTTGTCTTGGGCAGGATTTTGTTGAGCATCTGAATTCTTTTCATCTGTAGTTTCCTCCACCTTAGTTTGGGAGCCATTAAAGGGATCTAAGCTCTTTGACGACCCCTCTTTCGCGGCTTTTTGTATGGAAGTACTTCGGTGATCACCCGGGGTGAAAGGCTTCTCCAGAAAGTAAGTGGATATTGGGGCTGGTCCAGAATATGCGATATGGAAAGGCATGAGGCTCGGTTCAGTGGATGGTATAGGTTTGTATCCTTCCGGGATTGATAATGTTGTCTTTGAAGTCATATTTACAGATGGTATCACAAGCGATGGGGACCTGGGAGGCACAAAGGATGAAAGCCGACAACAATTAGGCGGGGATTCAATAGCTCTGCTAACCTAAACACACCCATTTGATAGAGAGGACACTGTATTTGCGTAAAGTAAGGTATAGACCGATTGACACGGTACTACCAACAGCAAACAAGGCTAACATGAAACATCTCATCAACAGTAAATGGAGTGTGACATGTAGTAATGAAGATAAAGAACTCGACTAATAATAGACAAAGATAAAATGAGGAAAAGGTAGACTCGCGATAGTAGTGAGGGAATGTAAGGAAGGAGCTATACCAGAGTTGCTGTGGTTTCTAAGGGAGGGGTTTAGGGGTCAAGGGTTCGGAAGGGAGCTGCTGATCGATATAACAGGACAATGTAGACTATGCATGGAAACAGCACAATGGAGAGGCTGCCAACCGTCTGATTTAGGCTAGAGATGATTTATGGAAGCAATAATGAGGAACGTTTACATTCCACCATATGCATCGTCTTCATTGTACATTGAGCTTTCTGGTCTTTGCTTCTTGGCAGTCGGGGCCGGAGCTTTAGGCTGAGTCTGGGCAGGGGCAAATCCAAGCTGTACGGGAGTCTCACGACCATCATGAGCAGATTCCTTGACAGTTACAAATTGTCCTTGCTGGGCAGTGGCAGTGGCCGGTGTCAATTCAGGGTAGGTGGGGCCTGACTTGTAGACAGCATCTTGTCCTGTGACGGTCTCGGCTCCATGGGCAGTTGGCGGTGGTGAAGGGAAATTGTCACGTCCAGCGAACGATGGTGCGGCAGGGCTCTCGAGGTGGTGGTTATACTGCTCATATCCGCGGGGTGAAGGTGGGTAGTCATGTGGAGTGTTTCCTCTTGTCAATTCCGCATAGCCGCCGTTGTTGTTGAATCCTTGATCATAAGCCGTTCCAAAGCCGGGTGTATTGGGAAGAGGAGTAGCTGGAGCACCACCCGGTCCGAAGCCACCATTGTACATTTGACCAGGAGCGCCATTATAGCTTGGTTGAGTATTGTATCCGAATCCATCATTACCCATATCGTTATAAGGATTAGGTGCTCCATAGAGGGGTGTCGGTTGACGTTCAACCATGCTGGGACCAGGGGCTGGGCGAGTGCGAGATGGAGGAGGAGCGTCGTCATCTGGAATTACGGTCGATTGTCGAAGGAAGGAGTTGCGGTTGAAGGGCTCCTCGTCAATGTCGCTGTTCCTCTTACGGCGACGAATGAACCAGATGACGAAGGCCGTAATGACACCGATACCAATGATAGCAGCGGCAGCGGCACCAGCAATTGATCCAAGGCTCATCCCATCTGACTCTGGGGTGGCAGTGGCGGTTGCAGAGGTCCTCGTTGATGTAGTACTCGCACGAGAAGTGACTGAGCGGGTGACCTAAATCGAATATGAGAATGAATATAGGGAGTAGTTAGGTAAGGGTACTTACGACTGCGTCACTCGTATTCGCCCTAGTAGTACCCGATGGAGGAGGGGTGGTAGGCACTACCGTATTTGAGGTAGCGGTATTGGTTGCAGGTGTTGAAGTGACACCAGTTGCCGTACCCGTAGCCGTACCCGTACCGGTGCCTGTAGCCGTGTTCGTAGCTGCACCAGTTGGCGTAGTAGCAGGGGGAGTCGTGCTTCGACTCGTAGCGGTCGGGGTACCACTAGGTGGTGGACCAGTGGGCATCTGAACACCATCTATATGGATGATTAGACACAATCCTGATAATGAAGAAGCCTGTGGCCGACGGAGAACTCACGGGGGACGGTGCTTTGAGTGGACGATGAGACACCGACTTGGCGTTTGTGCGGGGCAGCGACAGCAACACTGGCCCTTTTGTGGATTTTTCGAAGAGTCATTGTGGGTAGAAATATAGTTATGGGAGGGTTTGATTTCGGTCGAGTTGGACGAAGGCCGTAAGTAATTGGTGTTTCAAAGTAAAGAGCGTTAGGCTAAAAAGAATGGACGGTCCTAATACTGCACGGAATAAGCATCTCGAGTCCCAACAGACACGACCACTGGAGTTTTCGACGACTTACGGGACAACTAGAGGGGACTTGTTGTAGCTGTTGCGGGATCCAAGTGACATTCAAACTCCGTCGGCTAGCGGGAAGAACACCTCACGTCTCACACAGTCGCCGCCCGGCACGGTAGAAGGCAAAAATAGGAAGATTCTATTTATTGACGAATATCAAATTGGTTGCAGTTGAGCCTTGTAGTCCCAGTCGAAAGACGCCGCGGGTCGCCAGGGCTAAGACTCCTTCCCGACTTTTTGAACCGTTTCGTATATCGCTTGCTTGCGTTGACTTTCCATCAGCTGCTCCTGTCGCTCCTTCATCTTTGCGGCGCGACGTTCGTCGTCTCGCAGGACGCCCTTGTACATATCCTTGGGGTGCCCTGACATTCAACCTTTTGCTGGCTAGGCTAAAAAAACTTGGGCTTACGTCAAGCTCCTTGCGCTGCAGGTAGTGAACACCCCAGACGGTGATTCCACAGATGATCGCAGAGCCAACAAGGGTGACTCTGGCCATCTTTGACATCTTTTATTATTATGCAAAGGACTGGGGAGGCCCAAGATACGAGTTGCAACTCCGATTCGACCGTCACACTTAGTGCAGAAATCTATATATAAATAATTGGAATGTGAACTATTATATTTGCAGATAATGTTGAATATAAGTTAGCGTGTATTGTCTGTCCAGTTTAGAATCCCATCGGTTCCACCGATCTCCATTAACGGTCATGTCCACCACTCCAATCCTCGTCTGGTGGCCCCCTTGTGACACTAACATTCCCACCTTCATCAATAATAGCCCCAACATCCGCCGCGTCCACATTGTGCTCCTTGATTTCCCTGACGAGTTCCTCTGAGAGTTCAGGATGAGCCTCCCACTTGGGTATCCAGATCCACCGTTGGTCCATATAGATGGAAGGATGATCGAAAGCATGCTCTTCCAGGTCATCGTCAGTATCCGAGTCTGCTTCGCCGTCGCCATTCTTGTCCACCAATGCTTTGGCTGGGGCATCAATCTTGATTGCATCAGGTTGAGCAGAAGTAAGGGCACCCATCAATTTCGACGTCGTTGCCTTCTTGCTTGATTTAGAATGAAGCGACGCCTTTGAAGCAGAGGGGTCTACAGGCGGCGTCTCGCTAACTGTGACATTGGCCTCGTCTGGACCCTTCTCCTGAATCAATTCATCAGCGGTAGCCTTGGCCTTGTCGGACGCTTTTCTCTTTTTCTCTTCTTCTTCGGCACGAAGTGCTTCTTCTTTATCCTTTTTCTCTATGAGGACGTCGTGCGACGTCCCCCGTTGATGGATAGATGTGTGCCGCAAACGGAGTTTGTGTCGAACAACGCTTCGAACACCTAAATAAGAAAGGATGTCACTGCCATGTTCTTATTGGCGAATAAACATTATACTCACGGTCGCGAGAGAAAAGATCAATGTCCTCCCCACCTGCATTCCCTGTTGGTTGTCCCGCCGCATTCTCGGTAGCACCTTGCCCTCCAGTGGAAGCTGCCCTATTGGGATTTTTATGGAACCGTTCAGCTAGCCTCTTTGTCGATAAGGACATTGGTAGGAAGTCAATGACAGCTGCGTTTGTTGTCAGCTTTATGTTTGGTCAGTTGATGCGATCCCAAAAACATACGTTTGAATGAGTGCTTGAAGAAAATCTGAGCCATAGCAGTGATGATGATAAGAACCACCATGAGGGCACCTTGTGGAATTGTAACGTGTTCACCTTGATATAGGGTAAATTTAGATGGCTGCGAGTAAGTGCCGTCTTTACTCACCGTTTTCGTTCTCTGCAAAGAAGAAAAGACCCATCAAGCAAATTTCCTGCAAGTACAACCCGGTGACTATTGATTGAATGAGCCAACCTGTCAATCAAGTAATTGGCAAATTGACGTACAAAGGTTTGACATAAGTAGTGGGAACTGTGACTGTGTTAGCTAGCAAAAAAGATATAACTTTTGAACCCACATAAAGGCCACTGGTCTCTTGGGCGTCAGGCTGATCCAAGCTGCAGAAATGTCAATGCCAGGACTTTATGGGGTAACAAGACATACACCCAGATGAGCAAAAACTTCCAACTCAGCCAGAATAGCGCAAACGTAGCGAGAGCGAGAACGTTGATAATTGGACTAGGTTGCGCGAAATATAAACGTGAGTTTGGTGATTCGGGAGACACGGAGTCCTACTCACGACACGATTGCATAGGCAAACCCGATGGTCGCAAGAAGACTCATACGGGGTAACATAATTCCGAAATCAAAGCTTGGCATCAAGAATGTGGCTTCAAAAGCTTCTCGAGGTGTATTCCCGAAGAATAATTTTTTCACGAAATAAATGATCAATGGTCCCACTTGAAGGAGAGCACCAGCGGCACCCATAAGACCTTGTTGAAGCTAACGGGAATAAGTACTGGAGTCATTGTTGAGGTAGGACGTGCTTACCATGTATGTCAAGAAGAAAGTGCTGGCGTCTGGGGAAGTTTCATGAGGATGGGTTTAATGACTTCAGCCGGCGATTGACTCACTAGGAAGATAGATGGAAAAGTCCCTGACAAGACCGGTAGGACTTTGAAGATCACGAAGGAGACTACTCAAAGCTGAGAAGAATGTGATGATCAAAAAGCCGTGCCTAAATCCTGGGCTGCAACATTTGGTCTCCTCATTCTTTGGGGATTTCCTGTAGCTCTGGCAGGTATGTAAATTCTTACCCTTTCGACCTGAAACTGACATTATTTTAGGGTTCACGTCCAACGCGGGCTATGCATGCAGTAACTTCTGGTGGCTGGAGTGGATTTGCAAAAGTAAGCATTCATAGGCATAGATATCTTCACACTAACTAATGCCATGTAGCTTCGGATATCGCACAGGGCTTCATCACTGGTGTCTTTCCTCCAGTCCTTCTGGCCATCCTCTTCTTAATCCTTCCTTATCTTCTCAAAGGTATGTTTTCCTTAGGAGATTTCTACTTGGAAAGATACTCACACTGTTTAGGCTTGGCCTGGTTTGAAAATACCCCACGTTGGTCACTTATCTCGATCAATGTATACAAGCGATATTTTGCATTCCTCGTTGTGTAAGCCCATTCTATTTCTTCCGGAGATGACCTTTAACTTTCGGATTTAGGCACGGCTTCTTGATTATCACATTCTTCTCAGCTTTGAGCAGTTTGCTTCGTGATCTCCAGAATCCTACCGGGCTTGTCAGGGACAATCAACAGGGAATGCAGGTGGGGAGGACATTGACCTTTTCTCTCGCGACCGTGA